CAAAGACCAAATGATCTTCTCAATAGACGCAGAAAAAAAATTCCATAAAATCCAGAGTCCTTTTCTAATTAGAATAGTGAACAGTATAGGGATAGGTGACACATTTCTTAAACTGATGAAAGCTATCTACGACAAACTCACAGCTAATATTTTACTGAATGGAGTAAAACTGAAAGCTTTTCCACTTAAAACTGGAACCAGACAAGGTTGCCCTCTTTCACCATTACTATTCAACATAATGCTGGAAGTTCTAGCCAATACAATTAGGCAAGACAAGGAAATAAAGGGCATCCACGTGGGAGCAGAGGAGATCAAACACTCCCCTTTGCTGATGATATGATCTTATACTTAGAGAACCCCAGAGACTCAACCACAAGACTCCTGAAAGCCATCAAAAAATACAGTCATGTCTCAGGACATAAAATCAATGTCCACAAGTTAGTAGCCTTTGTATATTCCAATAACAGCCAAGATGAGAGACTAATTAAGGACACAACACTCTTCACCACAGCTTCAGAGAAAATTAAATACCTAGGAATATACCTAACAAAATAGGCGAAGGACCGCTATAAAGAAAATTATGAAAACCTAAGAAAAGAAATAGCAGAAGATACTAACAAATGGAAGAACATAGCATGCTCACGGCTGGGAAGACTCAATATTGTTAAAATGTCTATATTTCCCAAAGCAACCTACATATTCAATGCCATCCTTATTAAAATACCAACATCGTACTTTCAAGAATTAGAAAAAATAATTCTTCTGTTTGTATGGAACCTGAAAAAAAAAAAGCCATATAGCTAAGCCAGGGGCATCAGCATACCAGATTTTAGCTTGTACTATGAAGCCATAGTTGTCAAAACAGCATGGTACTGGCACAAAAATAGAGACATAGACATTTGGAACCAAATAGAAAACCAGGAAATTAAACTAACATCTTACAGCCACCTAATTTTCAATAAACCAAACAAGAACATACACTGGGGGAAAGACTCCCTATTCAATAAATGGTGCTGGGAGAACTGGATATCCACATGTAAAAGACTGAAACAGGACCCACACCTTTCTCCACTCACAAAAATTGGTTCAAGATGGATAAAGGACTTAAATTTAAGGCATGAAAGCATAAAAATCCTCAAAGAAATCATAGGAAAAACACCGGAAGATATTGGCCTGAGGAAAGATTTTTTGAAGAAGACTGCTGTGGCAACTGCAACAACAAAAATAAACAAATGGGACTTAATTAAACAAAAAAGCTTCTGTACAGCTAAGGAGACAACAACCAAAGCAAATAGACAACCTACACAATGGGAAGGGTATTTAAATATTTTGAATCAGACCAAAGCTTTGTGTTGCATAAGGGGGTGTGTGATGCAGCGCAGCAGGAATAAGACCTGCTGAGGAATGTCAGGAGAATAAGGAGACTGGAAACTCACTCTGGAATCCAGCAAAGTTCTTTATTCTACCAAAGCTTATATAGACTATACTGCACGTACACACAATTAATAAACAAGTGACTCAGACCTCCTGACACAGGCCCAGCACAGCCCAGCACCAAGGAATATGTTGATTAGCCAAAAACTATTCCACTAACTTTATCTATAACTATTCTTAAACCCTATAATGAAAACAAGACCATAAAACAAGGTTCTGGGAGAATAAGCTGATTGAATGCTTGACCTTCAACAGACCATCTGGAGGCAGCCATTTATCTTAAGGAGTAGTCTGGAAATACCTGAGATATACCGGTACTTGCTTGCAGGCCAGCCCCCCTCCACCCCCACCCCAAGGCTCGGCCCTGGAGCATTCCTACATGATAAGATCCTGAGCCACATAGGGAGTTCTATCCAGGTCTTTCTACATTCTAACTCACAAAAGACTTCAAGCTTGCTCTCACAAAATGGAACTGTTTAAAGGCTTACTTATAGGCCTTCTGCCTATACTTTGATAACAAGAATCTATACAGAACACAAATTAATCCACATTAAAAAAGCCAACAATCCCACTTAACAATGGGCAAGAGACATGAATAGAACTTTATCTGAAGACATATGAATGGTTAGCAAACATATGAAAGAATGCTCATCATCCCTAATTATTAGAGAAATGCAAATCAAAACCACCCTGAGATACCATCTAACCCCAGCGAGGATGACCCACATCACAAAGTCTCAAAACTGCAGATGCTGGCATGGATATAGAGAGAAAAGAACACTTTTACACTGCTGATGGGATTGCAAACTAATACAACCTTTTTGGAAGGAAGTATGGAGGACTGTCAAAGAACTCAAGCTAGATCTCCCATTTGATCCTGCAGTCCCATTACTGGGCATCTACCCAGAAAGAAAAAAATCCTTTTATCATAAGGACACTTACACTAGATTGTTTATTGCAGCTCAATTTCATAAGGACACTTGCAGTAGACTGTTTATTGCAGCTCAATTTATAATCGCCAAAATGTGGCAATACACTATATGCCCACCAACCAGGAATAGATTAACAAGCTGTGGTATATGTATACCATGGAATACTATTCTGCCATTAAAAAAATGGAGACTTCACATCCTTTGTATTAACCTGGATGGAAGTGGAACACATTATTCTTAGTAAAGCATCACAAGAATGGAGAAGCAAGAATCCTATGTACTCAATTTTGATATGAGGACAATTAATGATATAGTACATGGTGGGGGGTGGTAGAAGGGTAGAGCAGATAGAGAGGAGTAGGGAGGGGGTGGGGGAGAGGAAGAGCAGAGAGAAGGAAGGACGGAGGGTGGTGGGGTCTCAGGATGTGACACACATTTTGGGGGAACTTTATCTAACAAACACAATCAGTATTTCCTGGTAATTTGTTCCCTCAACAATTTTAAAAAAAGAGAGAAAAAAATAAAGAAATAAAGATCATAGGATTTGTTTTTCTCAGCACAAATTATAGGAGCCTATATAATGGATTTTATAAATTAGTTTTATTGTGTCCATAGGATGGAATAACATGTTACCATTGAATATAGCATAAATACAGATGTATGCTGTCCTGGGAAGAGTATTTTGGTATATCAAATGATAATAAAGGTCCATTTGACTCTCCACACACACAAACATATTATGTTCTTGTTTCAGCTGTAAATAAGTACACAATGTACAATAAAAATTTGTTAATTCTTGGGCATTTATATCATAAGTAAATGTTTTTGCCTTATCTGTGATTTCTGCAAGTAGTATTTATGAAAATTCTAGTAAAAGTTTATCATGAATGAAACAATTCCTGGGAAGAGAAGGAATCTGAATCTTGCACAGATAATGATAGTGTATTGCTTTTTATTAATTTCTTTTTTAAATTTTTTTATTAGATCATAAATGTGTACCTTACTGCATTTATGGGGGTACATGTGCTGATTTTATATACAATTTGGAATGTTTACATCAAACTGGTTACCATATCATTCACCTCATTTATTTAATTATTGTGTTTAGACATTTATACTCTACTATTAATATTATTAGATTATTTTTGTGAGTTGGAATCTTCTACCAATCTCTAGTTCTTCAGAAGTAAAAGGAATTTTTTTTATTTGTGCTTCCAGATTTTATTATGTATGCATTTTATTACAGACACCTTTTTGTTATATATGTAGATTTTATTACACATATGCAAATATATATTACTCATTACATTTTATATTTGTTGCAGCATGATAATAAAAAATAGCAAATATAAATGATTATTACTCTTGTGAAAGTATTGCATTGCACTAGTTTAGAAAACTGTCCTTTAAAAACATTGAACTCTTTAACTCTATCTATTCTTTGAATCCATTTATTCATCAACCGTAACCTGGACACCTATTACGTAGCATATGCGGGACCTATACATCCTTAAAAACTTCCTGTTTACCTGCTCAATCTGAGCAATTTGAGAAATTTAAAGTTGAAGTATTAGGATTTAAATTCAATTAAAGCTTTTCTCAACTTCTTTCAAACAAAAGCAATTCTGAAGGTAGAAATTGTAAAAGATGAGCTTTAACTATCTTTTTAAAATGTGTAACACTATTAAGTACTAATATTAAACTTCAAAAATACCTGATTTTTATACATTGCATAAATCTAACTAATGAAAAAACAAAACATACATACTTATTTGAATCCTGAGTTTCCTCTGCTTTGATTTTTTTGGAAAATAAAGTAAAAATTTTGATTTTAAAAAATTTGTTATATCCACCTTATTTTTCCATAGTAATTTTAAGAACTGAAATTTATTAAATGTCAAGTGTATGACTAGAACTGCCATGGACCTATTGTATACACCATCACATTTTACTTAATGCAAGACACCATTGATTGTGTGATGGTCCATTTGTTCATCAATAAGATAATTTTTAAAATGGTACCCATTATAGTTGAAATAAATCATGAATAAAAGGTGCCATTCCAGTATCAGTAATGTTAAAATGTGAGAAAATTGAGCACCCTAGCATCACTGAAATGCAACCATATCTTTAGTCTTCAAAACAAACCACAAAACAGGTATACTTGTATCATTTTACTTAATCAAAATGTTGTCTTTGTTAAGTAGTAGTAATAGTAATAATTATATAGCAATCATTTGGCTGTTATTTGCATTAAAAATTGCATTACAAAATACTTTGTATGGATTCTCATTTAAGCATCATGGTGAGGTCTTAGGAGACAGCTACTTTTTTTTTTTTTTGCCTATTTTATTGAAGAGGAAATTGTAACACAGAAAGGCTAAGTGGAAACTAGTAAGTGATAGGGCTTAGAGTAGGATTCAAACACAGGTTGAACTGAATCCCAAAGCTAAGCTTGTTCTATTCACATAGACTGTTCTTTCATTAATGTAGTGAGTAAAAGAGCTAATTAATGTTATACTTTCTTAATAGGCAGAGGAATAGCATACTATTTAATGTTTACAATTGCATGAGTCATTGTATGTCCTGAGATAGTGAGCTGCAATTTCCTAACAATCCCTTTTGCTTTCATAGGACTGCGCTCCACTTGGCCTGTGCCAACGGCCATGCAGAAGTCGTATCTATACTGGTGAACAGAAAGTGCCAGCTCAATGCTCCTGACAGTGAACAGAGAACAGCCCTGATTAAGGTAAATAGCAGCCAACTATTTCAGTATAAAATTTCTTTGATTTCAATACACAGAATAAAAATAAATTTATCTCATTTAAGCAGCACTAGCTGGTGAGATCTGTAGAATGTTTATTTTGAATTTCTAGAATTTATGATATTTCTTAATCTGATACTGATAGGCGGTACAATGCCAGGAAGAGGAGTGCGCCACTATCTTATTAGCACATGGGGCTGACCCAAATCACAGTGATATGTATGGCAACACCGCGCTTCACTATGCTGTCTATGACGAGAACCTGTCAATCACCAGGAAACTCCTCTCCTATGGTGCAGACATAGAGGCAATAAACAAGGTATAGACCAACCAACTTTATTTTCAGAATACTGAACATTGACGTATGTAACCATCAGTGTTCCATATTTAGAAGTTCAGACATTCCCTGACTGAAAATATTTTTAATAATTACTTAAGATTTTACTTTAAATATCTGTACATTTAAAGAAGCATTAGTAGATGCAGCTTTCTATTATACATACATGGTTAATATTTGTGAAAACCTGGCATTTGTTAAAGGAAAACTTGTTTTTTCAAGTTTTTTTAACACAGGGTTTTTTTCTTGTTGTTGTTTTCTATTAAGTATAAAACAAACCAGAAAAGCAAATTTGCCCTGAAATGGTAGGTTTTATCTTAAAACTGAAAGTAAAGCATTATACAGTAAATGGAAGTCTTGCTGTGGTTGACAAGTGCCTTAAAAATGTAGTTTATATAAAAGTGACTTATTTCTAATTGGTGAGTCTTAAGAGAGAAAAATGGAAAGGGAAAATAAAAATCAGAAACATGTAGGCCAGGGTGGAAATTGGAAATCAGAGAAATTACAATGAAGAGATGTTTTGGGTGTGTGTTTTTATTTATTTGTTTTATTCCCAGTTTATATATTTAGACAAAGTGCTCTGAAAATTTTAGGGAAACCTCATTTTGGGAGACAATGTTAGTAAGTTGTAAACTTTCCTAGACATCAATTTTAGGAGGACTCTGAGGAAACCAGATTAGCAGTGAATAGGTGGTGATGAAGTGGGAAAAGTTCAAAAGAGGGAAAGTAAATACTTAACGTTATTCTACTGCAGAAACAGTCACTTAGATAAAAGTCTACTAGAATGTCTTGATGGGAAGGTGGTAGATAGGAGCTTATAAACAGCAAAATCAATCAAGTTGCATTTTCAAGGTATTAGTCCCGGTTCTAACCCTATGCAGAAAAATTCAATAGGATTTTCAGTAAATGACTCCATTTCTCCCTATTTCCTGTTTCAACCCAATCTTCAAATGATAAAGGGACCTGGCTATGTGAGAGAAATGACACTATAGAGATTGTCTACTCCACTAGTTGTCAGCTAGAGCTATGTGTCTCAGAGACTTGAGAACACCTGAAGATACTGATTTAGTAAATGTAATAAAGTCTGGCTGTGCATATTTAAACAGATTTCCTCAAAAATGGGTGCAGTAGCAGGTGTCTGTTGTCCCAGTCACTCTGGAGGTTTGAGGCAGGAGGATCACTTGAGTCCAGGAATTTGAGTCCATTTTGGGCAACAGAATGAGATCCTCTTATTAACCAATAAAATATTTTTTCTTGAGATTCTGATTCACTTCTAATTAAGAACCACTGACTAGATATATATAACAAAAATTCCTGTATTTCAAAAACTTAAGAAATCTCCAGAAGAATTGAAATTTGCTAGGAGCTACTTCCTTCAGATCTCCTTTTCAATAACATTAGCCCGACTTTATCAACCTTTCTACTGCTCTGTGGTTGATCTGTTAAAAAGAGTATCATAGACTGTGTCTATCATCTTACAGAATAGCACCATTTCCCTTTTTCTCACCAATCACTCAGTGCCATTCAAAGAGTATTTAGCAGTTTGCTTATGGACAGTCTTTCCATGAGTAGAAGTGGACCCTTTTAGTATTTCATGTTTCTTTGTTATCCTTCAGGTTATTAGCTCAAAAAATGTCTACGACAGCCAAGGCTTTCTTAATTAGAGTAGTGGCCAATCTTGAATCTTCTCTTCAGGTACAGCTGGATTATGAACCAGCTCCGTGTGCCTGTTAAATGTATAGAGCTTTGGCATGATCAGGATGGCAGTTTTATTTTTTTTCTTTTTTTTTCTTTTTTTTTTATTGAACGGTAACTATGTACATTAATGCACTTCTGGGGTACAGTGTGGGGTTTTCACATGCAATCTGAAATACTTCCATCAACTGGTCAACACAGCCT